CAGATCTGTTGTTCATTCTGGTCTTGTCCCGTCTGAACCCATAGATTCCTTGCCCCTCCTTTCAGATGACCACTCTGTCCTGGCTCGTTTGGAGACTTACCAGGGTCGAGTAGTCATGTTGGCCCCTTGGTGGCTGGCCCAGCCTTAGTTTCGGGCGTTGCTTGCTCAGTGTCCAAACCTGCAATGTTTTCCACAGCTCTGCCTCTTTCAGCAGTTTGGTCCAGTCAGGTACCTGGCTGGACCAGGTACCTGACCTGGTCCAGCCAGGTCAGGTACCTGGCTGGTACCTGACTGTTTTAACCTTTCTTAAACGTTTGAAAGACACAACTATTAAGGAAATGTGTGGTTTTTCTGTGGAGAGCCCCTTCGACTCCCCGGAGCTGTACCGGGCTGATGTGTATATATATTAGACCATGCCAACAGTCACTCGATGGAGTTCTAAGCCTACCGGGGACCAGAGCCAGAACCTGGCCCCCTCAAGAGAGGCACGAGGAGCAATGGCCTAAAGACACCCCCGTGTAATTGGAAGCAGTCTTTGTCTGCCATCTACCAGGTCAGGCACCCAGAAAGGTAGGAATTCCAAAACAAACTACTGCTGATCTAATAAATTGCAAACCGAAAGCCGAACTAGCAACAGAACTCCCCAATCAAAACCAAGGAAACAAGTATGACATCACCACAAACGCTGTGCATCCGTCTGCGCAACCCCCCCCCCCCCCCCCCCCCCGAGAGGGGTACCGGGGTAGGGGGGGATCCCAGACCTCCATGCCGGCAACTCTCCTCAGTTCGAGAGGCTGTTGTGTTGGTGATGGTCGATCGCTCTGACCCCACTCTTTGCGCAGTGCTGTGTTGTTGCTCTGTTTTTGTAGTGTGTGAGCCAGATGTAACACAAGAGTACTGGGGCTGCATGCACCTAGGGCCACCTTCCCTAGGTGCCCCTGTAAGCCTTTGCGGCCTCAGGGTTATCTTCCATGAGCTGTTCAGGAGCAGCTACCTCCGTGTGGTTCTGTTGTTGCTCAGTGATTGCCTGTCCTTGGGGGTTCAGCTGGGTTGGTTCTTACTCCTGTTTTCCCTTGGGTTAGGAGGTAGTTTCGTTGCTGGCTGGGGCGCGAGGTACTGTGCAGCTGTCTGATGTACGCATTGCGACAGGTTCTGTTCTCCTGGAGACATGCTTTTGCAGGGTTTTTCTTTTGTTTTTGTTTTGCCTGGCGGGGGTCTGCCAGGTGTGGCAGTAGGACTACAGGTAGGTTTTTGGTGGCCCTCCACTAGGTCCCCATGCTTGCACACCTTGCAGGGGTTCACCTTTTAGATTGTTTGCTTAGTAGCTCTGGGATAACTGGTTAGCAGTACCTCGCCTGGGCTTACCTTAGCAGTCAGCCTAAGGGCCCTGGTCCAATGTAGGAGACCTCGGAGTCCCACCTCGCCTTGTGCAAGTTTGAAGGTTGCTCTGTCCCCCTGTTTTGGGGTGACACTCACCGTCTGCATATGCCTTGCTGCTTGTTGAGGTCAGTGACACCTATGACCCGAAGTCCTGCAAGTGGTGTTCTTTGCTTGTACTGTCTCCACTCGATCATCCGGACTATATGGGAAGGACCCTTAGCCGGATTATCACAAGTTCCGAATAATGGTACTTTTTCACCTACGAGTCCAAAACTAACCATTTCCAACTATTTTTGTACTACAAACAACATTATTTGAATTGCCTTGCCACATATAATTATTAAATATTCAACTAGAAACCTCAACTTACCTTATTGTTGTTTGTCTTCTTGATTGATGCCACACATCTTGAAGTTAAAAATTCTTGACAATTTACGTAACCTATACTAACACAATACTAAAATTAACACTTAAAATTACTGTACAGTTCATTAGGCAAAGTTAGTTTTCACTGTCAGCTGCAGAATCCTCACTGGTTGAAGGCATTTGGCTTGCCTGTGACGCCTCACTTGTTGAAGGCACTGGGCTTGCCTGTGATGCCTCACATGTTGAAGGCGCTTGGGTTACGTGTGCCACCTCACTTGTTGAAGGCGCTTGGTTTGATTTTCGTACCATATAAGAATCGAGTGTAGCTTGCCTTCTGTATTCACTGGCCAGTTGTATGATCAGCTCTTTTGTTCGCCTCAGGTACTGATACATGTTTCCAACTTCTGGATGAGGACAATTGGATGAAAAATTTATTAATCTGTCAACATAGGTCATGAGTACACTGTATTTTGTGGTCATTGGTGTTGGTTCTTTACTGCCTTCTTCATCCTCCTCTTCTTCGTCGACCTCACCAGTAATAGACTGGAGAATCTCGTCTTCACTCATCACACCATATCCTGGGTCCTTGGCATCTTTTTCAAGCCAATCAACCACATCCTGTCTTTCCAAGTTTTCGCCGGCATTTCTAAACATTCCATGGACTTCATCTGTAAATCCTTCAAAGTCCATTTCTGCATCCTCATTATTTCTGACCGTAGACGTGATGCATTTTTTCCAGGAATTTTTCAAATTCAAATTTTTCAAAAGATTCCTTTAATTCACTCCACACCTTGGCCCAGTTATAGATGGCTTCCTTGATTGTATAGTTCTTCAAATTCTCAAGGTTTTTTTTAGTCCTGTTATCCACACCGAGTTCAATATCTTCCGGAAGAGGCAAAACCACCAAAACTTCGTTTAGCATCTTTTTGGTGTACAACCTCTGTGGCACAGAGGTTGTACACCAAAAACCTCTGATCTGTACTGCCTGATCTATGCATAGGCTGGATAAGAGAGGTTGTGTTAGGAGGAAGTGCCATACACGTTATTTTGCCATCATGTGAGGTTAACCTGGCAATTTTGGGGTGGGCAGGCACATTATCAAACAGCAGCAAAGCCCGAACTTCACTTGGCCTTACTTTGAGTTTCTTAACTTGACAGGCATGAACTTCCCTGCAGAACACGTTGAACCACTTTACGTCATGAAACCAGGAAAGAAAGATCTCTTGTGTAAACCATGCATTTTGTGAGTTATAATATTTGACTGGCAGTCTGTCCATGCAATGTTGCAAGGCTCTTGGTTTCTTTGATTTGCCAACAATTGCACACGTGATTCTGTCTGTGCCGTCGCACACATCATGGCCAAGAGCCTGTCCTTGTTGACCTTACAGCCTGGCACACAACCCTCACTCCTCATTGCTAGAGTTTTTTCTGGTAAACTTCTCCAATACAACCCAGTTTCATCAGCATTTTAAATTTGATAAGAATATAAATTATTTTCCAAAATGTATGCTCTTAATTTCTCTTTAAATGGTTCTACACTGCTTTCATCTGCACTCAATTTTTCACCGACAATTTTCCTCTTCACAATATTGTGCCTACCCTTGAACCTTGCAACCCACTCTTCACTCGCTTCGAAATCCTTTATTCCAAGGCTTGCAGCAAACCTGCTTGCAGCATTTTGTATTTCTGGGCCGCGAATTGTCAAGCCAGCTGTGCGGTGCTGAGCAAGCCACTTGTACACAGTCTCATCCAACTGCACATGCGTCGAAGTTTTCATAGTCATTCTACCACACCCTCTGCTAGTGCTTGCACCTTCACTTTCACAGGGTGAAATGAATTTCATAATTTTTTCTTTTTGTTTCCTTTTATCAGAAACAGTACTAGTGCCTATATTAAATTCCTTGGCAACAATTGAGGTCGACCGGCCTTTTTCACAAAGTTGTATAACACGTAGCTTGTCCTTAATTGTTAGGACAACCTTCTTCCTCTTAACACCTCCAGAACGATTCATGTTGCTACCGGACATAGTCTTGTCCAAAAATGTTCAAAGTTACCATGAAAATAAAAAAGTTATTTAAAAAAAATATTTCGCTAATGGCGTGGCACTGGGGAATAACACGAGGGTAGAGAACACATGGGTTGACCAGGCATGGACGGGTCCAGTCGGGGTAAGGAGGCACATTACGAAGGCCGCCAGCAGGAAAAAAAATATATGTTTTTGAAGGAAACTTCAGCCTGTGCAAATTGTTTTTAGGAAACTTGTATGATATTTTTTATTACATAATTACTAGTATTTTTGAATTTGGCTATGATGAATTGTTCTAAAATCGATGGTAATTCTTGTACTGTAGTGTAGAGGCAGCTCCCCATCCCCCCCCTTATCCCCCCCAGGTGGTCCCTCCCAACACTCCCCTCTCTCCCAACACCCCCCACCCACCCCACCCCCCTCTTACACCATGCGCCTCGAGCCACAGGCAGATGGGATTAATACGGTACTGCCCGCCTCATGGTTTTCATATCCGGACAATTCCATAATTATCCGGCTGACTGTCCGGATAGTGTAACATCGGCAGCAAATTAACCGGCTCCAATTTTTTATCCGGCAAAACCAGCTTTTATCCGGCTCCCGTGGCCATTTTAGCCGGATATTGAGAACTTTATCCGGTCACGATTTTGGCAGTATAAGGGCGTTTTCCGGATGTTCGAATCCCGGATAATTGCGTGGTTACAGTACTCCATTCACCCAGTCCACTGGCACTGATATTTGGGTGCAAACAGCTTTAGCATTGCATGCAAGGTTTAAGTTGCAGCAACGTGCGAGGTTGATTGCCTTTCCGGATGCCCTGCAGGTGCCCCGTTGACAGCACTGAGATGGTGCGCCACCACGAGGGGTGCCGCCCTGGTGGCCTGTCGCAGTAACACAAAACATCACATCCAGAAATACAACTTTCACATCCTGTATAGCAATACTGTATTGCAGTATACTATTGCAATATTGTATTTCATGCACAGAATCATACATTTTCCCTACAAAAAGTCTTAAAATAAATGTCAGATAAAACATACTAATTGCTTTTCCACAAAATATCCTTGTAAAATAGAGGTGTGCCTTCTGTGAGAGTGCGTCTTTTATGCGGTCAAATACGATACTTCCTATTCCTGAAGCAATTAGCCGAGATACTGTTAGAGTTATCATGGTCTCTATTTACAAAATAAAGTTGCACTTCCTTCATTATTTATCCTTTTTCCAACAGGTCTCTGAGGATGGTCAGTGGGACATAAAGCTATTAGATTTTCTTCATAAGACTTTAGTAGATAAAGAATGCCGTGTGACTGTTATGGAAGAAGCAAGTTTAGGCGAAACACTAAAGGTAGGCCTAAATTATTTAGCTTTATTTCTGAGCTGTCCCACTTTGTTGCCCCCCTTCCCCCCTGAAAAGGAATTCTGCTGTCTGGAGAAGCATATCATATAGTGAGGCAGGGTAATATTTCATGTTCATATAGGTGCTAGGTGCCAAGGGAATTTTTCATATATCCTTGAAGGGTTATGATTCAGCTAATGTGACAGTAGAAAGCAAATAATTCATGTGTCATATGTTGGGCCCCACAGGGGTCCATTTTGGGGCCAACTTTTTTTGTCATATAGTACATTCTCATCAGTGACATAGATCAGAATATTACAAACCACATCATCAAATTTGCAGATGATACTAAGATCTATGGTTAAGTGGCAAGTGAAGGTGATATTTAGACCAAACAAAGAGATCTACATGAACTCCACAAATGACAGGCAAATGCTGTCTAACCACCGTGCTGCGCTGAGTTTATTGTGAAATTCCCCCGGTGCGCGTGAAATAAAGTGTTACCAAAAAATTCTTTTCTGGGGGGGAGCCCCATAAGCTCCCCGGAGCTTTACCAGGCTGATATGCTAATGTCAGACTTTGGCATCAGTCATGTGTGTGGAGTTCTAGGGCCTACCGGGGACCACGGCTAGAACCTGGCCCCCTCAGAGAGGCAAGGGGAGCAATGGCCTATAGAAACCCCCATGTGGTTGGAAGCATTCTATGTCTGCCATCGACCGGGTCAAGCATCCAGAAAGGTAAGCATTCCAAAACAAACCCCTATTCTGGTTAAAATTGCTACCAAAAGCCAAGCTAGTGGATAGAACTCCCCAACAGAAAACAAGCAAACTATTATGATGTCACACGTTACCGCCCCACTGTCTGCGCAGCTCCCCCCCTCCCCAGGAGGGGGAAGGGGGAGCGCCAGACCTTCCACGCCGGTTGTCCACCCATCAGTTCTTCGGCTGATGCTATGGGCACTGGTTGTGTGCTCCGGCTCCAGTGGTTGTTTCAGCACAGTACCTAGAGTGTAGTGTCTGTCTTCTAGGTGGTACGTGAGCCGGGATTGTGTCTCCAGTACTCGGGCTGCATGCACCTAGGGTTCCCTTCCTTAGGTGCCCTGTAAGTACTGCCCTTGGGGCTTGGGGCCACCTTCCACAAGTTCCTTGGGTCCTGCCCCTGCTAGGCCGTTTACTGCTTGGTTTTCGGCCGCTCTTTGTGTGCTCAGGTGTTCTGTCTCCCTTGTTCACCTTAGGGTAAGGGGCAGTTTTGCACTGGTGGGGCACAGGGTACTGTACAGCTTGTTTCCACCAATCATGGCGGCTGGCTTTGTTCCGCTTGGGTACGCTGTCCTCTTGCAGGGCTTTCTTTTTCTTTTTTCTACCTGGTGGGGGGTCTGCCTTCGTTCTTCCCCCTTGTGTCCCTTGTGTTCTGAGTATTTTTCTGGTGGTACCCCCTGCTAGGTCCCCGTGAGTGTACACGTCCCTGGGGTTCAGCTCTTAGAAAGTTGTTTGGTAGCTTTGGGCGCTGGTTAGCAGTACCCTGCCTGGGATTACCCGAGCGCGAGTCCTCTTATAGTAAACGCTCGGGACCCTGGGGAACCCCTGGGGGCGCGTGGGTTCGATGGATGTTACCCCAGAGTCCCTCCCCTCGCTTCCAGCGAGTTTGATGGTTGCTCTCACCCTTTGTCTCTGGGTGACTCTGTTTTGCCTCTGTCTGCTGCCTGTGGGGTCGGTGACACCTTCGACCCAGAGTCTTGCGAGTTTTGTTGCTCATTGTGGCTCGGTTACTCAGTTGTGCTGACTAAGCGGGTGCGGGCAGCAGGGGCTTTGAGCCTTGGTGGTGGCAACGCTCTTGTTTGCTCCCCGAGGGCCCCGGGGCTGCCTCGTTTTGGTTCGTGTTGGGACTTAGGGGTGCAGGTTGCTTAGGTTCCTTCCACGCCCCCTTGTCATTCCCCTGGATCCCCCCTTCCTGCCTACATCCGGTTCCTTACCATCTGTGGGTTCGGGGCGGGGTTTGGTGGTTTTGAGACAAGAGCAGTCTCGGGGAATTCCCCTTCCGGGGTAGTGACGTGGGCATTTGAGCCTATTCCTTCAGCCGTGTTGTAAGAGTCTGCCAGTGGGCTCCTGTGCTCCCTTCCTTAGTATTTTTGCGGCTGCCCCGGTTTTCAAGTACGGCCGGGGCTTTGGGGGGACGGCTCGGCCCCGGGGCCTGTCGTGTAGGTTCCCGGGGCTGGGGAGGGGCTGACTTGGGGGCCTTGGCCCTGTAGGACTCCATGGGTGGGTTTTTCTCCCCCTCTAGGCGGGGCTTGTGGTTACGCGGAGTGGGGGTTTTCCTCTCCACTCGTCGTACGTGTTGTTGGCCGTCGGCCCCTCTCAGGACTCGGTTCCTTGGCTGTTGAGTCGGTTGGTTCCGTCCTGTGGGTGGATGCTCCCCCCCCTTTTTGGGATGGTGTCTTCATGTTTCCCCATTCTTGGGGTTCTACGTGACTTCTGGCCTCGGGTGCGACTGTGCTTTTGTGTGCCTTCGGGACTGGTGTTTGCTTCTGTGTTCTTGAGGGTTCGGGAAGGTTTTCGCTACTTCCCGTATTATTGGAATGTCTGTCGGCTCCTAGTCCGGGTCGCCGTATTGGGCTACTTGTAGCCCAGTTGGGCTCCTTGTGGCCCGGTTTGGCTCCTTGTGGCCCGGTTGGGCTGCTCGTGGCCCGGTTGGGTTCCCTTTGGGCTCTTTGTCTTCGCTTCGTTGGCCGGTTTTCTTGTTACTGCTAACATTTTTTGGGTACTTTTCTAGTGCAGTAGTCCTGGTTGGTGCATTCCTGCAGAGCGGGTTGTGCGGTTCGTTCAGCGTGTCATGCGCATGCGCCGTGGAGTTTGTTTTGGTCTGAGTGGTGTGTTTCAGTGCTAATGTTTTGCGCCCTTTTTTCTCGGGTGCTTCGCCTTTCGCTCTTCTCCCTTGCTCCGGTATGTGTCCCTTCGTTCCGGGGGTGTCCTGGATTCCAGCTGTGGGGTGGACGCCGAGGTTTTCCCTGTGTCATGGGTGTGGGCCACCTCCTTCGCCTCTACCCTGCCCTCCAGCATGTCCGGCTCTGGCTTCTTCACCTGGCGGTGCTCCCAGGCATCCCTCTTAATTACTGTTGGCAGTGTTTTTCGAGTGTTTGACATCCAGCCTAAGAACTAGTGGTTGGATTGCCGGCACTGGGGCTTTGGGCTACCCCTTCCCCCTCCTGAGGAAGAGTGGTGTGGCACAGACAGTGGCGCTGCAACGTGATGACGTCATGCTAGGTTGCTAATTTTCGTTTGAGGAGTTCTGGCCACTCATTCGGCTTTCGGTAGCAATAGTTTCACCAGAATAGGGGGGTTTGTTTTGGGACGCCTACCTTTCTTGGGTGTCAGACTTGCTCGATGGCAGACAGAATGCTCCCAACCACATGGGAGTTTCAATTCAACCTGTCCTCTTAAAAATGTTGCTTTTGGCCGCTTGCTCGTATGGCCGAAAGTGTACGTAATTTGAAAATGAACAAAAAATGAAAATAAATTTATGATTTTTTTTTTCAACAACAGTAAGTTAAGGGTCCTCTGATAGGTTAGGTGGGCAGGAAATTCTTTTAAAGTTCCAAAACGTTATGAAAAACGTTAATTGAAAGTTAACTCTTTCAACCTTACCAAGTAGGCCGGACAACTCAAACAGAAAACGGGACAGTACGTCACTTTTGGGAGTCGATTTCATTTCAAATAACGTCCAAATTTAGCCATAGTGCGCATACGAGCCAAAAGTGACGTTATTTTTATGAAGACGGGTTGTTCAATTGTCCATTGCTCTTCGCGCCTCTCTAAGGGGGTATAGGTTCTAGCTCGTGGTCCCCGCTAAGCATGAACTCCATGCACATTGACTGATGCCAGAAAGTTACACATATCCATTCAGCCTGGATAGCTCCAGGGAGCCTCCGGGACTCACCCAGAAAATGACATTTCATTACATTCAACCCCGGTTTTTTAGGTCCAAATAAATGCAATCAACCCAACAATCCCTTTGGCTCTATCATAGAAACTGTTTCCCAAGTTTGGTTTCCTGAAGTTTAACATTGGGGAGCAACTGAGGAGGGCCCTCTAGAAACAGACATTTCAATACATTCATTTTTAATTTTATTCTAACTAATTACTATTTTTTATTAACAGATTAACATAGAAGTTATAGATGTTGGTTTAGATGTGGCATCAATACTAGTTGATAAAATAAAAGTATGCCGCCGAGTCATCGCAGATACTAATATGGATGACCAGTTCTCTGTGGATGTGGTGAGTTATATTAATTTTTGCTCACTTTTAAACATATCTGATAGCTTGGTTGCTGCTGTAAATTTCCTCATCCTCCTAATGGTGGAGCTTTCCAAATTTGTACTCTTTATTTTATTTGTTGTATTTTGGGCTCATACCTACCAATTTAACCCTCTGTATTTCAGTTTAAAAAAAATTCCTGTTTCCTGCACTGCCTCCCTCATATACATCTACCCACAATCCTAACCTAAAACAGAAGGTTCCCTTAGTAGCTCCCTTGTGTTTATAAACTGGTGCTGCTAAGCCTAAGGATTGTACTTGGTCTTGCATGGAGACCCACACTATCCTACTAGGAGCCAGGCCAAGAATCTGTCTTTGGAGGATGGGTGCTTGGGGATAAAAAAAAAATCCAAAACTGAGGAAACCAATCATAAAGAGTAGATAAAACCAAACAAGATACTGTTGCAAAGAAAAATAGACTATGAGGAAACAAGGAAAACTATTGTTGCTTTGAAAACTATTGTTGTTTGAAAACTATTGTTGCTACGTTGCTACGTTCTGGGAACGTTTGAGTGTTGATTTTACACCGGGTTTCCCGTTTTGTCTGTTTTGGGACTGGGCCCTTGGGTTTGGTCTCAGTGTCCCTGTCTGTTATGCTTGCTCCCACACCTTGTCCCTTGGTTTTCGGTCTGTTTTGACCGTTTCCTTGGGGGTTCTGTCTGGGGGCTGTGCTTTGCCTTTCTGTGGTGTATCTCCGCCGGCAAATGTGGTGGTTTGGGCTTCCCCTGGTTCGATTCTGAGTTCCTTTGGTTTTGTTCCGGAGGTTTCTAACTCTTGGGTCCCCTTTGTGAATTCAGGGGGCTTTGTTTCCTCGTGTGTGACCCGGTTCTGCCTTCTGGGGTTCCAGGTTCTTCCTGGCTTGCAGACTGATCATTTTGGGTCTTGGCACGTGTTGTGGTCATGCTGGGACTTTGGGGTTTTGTTGTCGAGTTGGGCCTTTTGATGAAGTTTTGTGCCTTTTTTGCCTAGGCAGCGTGGTGCTCTCTGCCCACTGGTCGAAAGCTTGTAATTTTCTTTTCACGTGTATGTGTGTGTGTACACATGTGCATGTACAAGTGTACACTGTGTGTGTGCACATATGTATGTAATTACCTAAGTGTAATTACCTAAGTGTAGTTACTGGATGAGAGCTACGCTCGTGGTGTCCCGTCTTCCCAGCACTCTTTGTCATATAACGCTTTGAAACTACTGACGGTCTTGGCCTCCACCACCTTCTCACTTAACTTGTTCCAACCGTCTACCACTCTATTTGCGAAGGTGAATTTTCTTATATTTCTTCGGCATCTGTGTTTAGCTAGTTTAAATCTATGACCTCTTGTTCTTGAAATTCCAGGTCTCAGGAAGTCTTCCCTGTCTATTTTATCAATTCCTGTTACTATTTTGTATGTAGTGATCATATCACCTCTTTTTCTTCTGTCTTCTAGTTTTGGCATATTTAATGCTTCTAACCTCTCCTCGTAGCTCTTGCCCTTCAGTTCTGGGAGCCACTTAGTAGCATGTCTTTGCACCTTTTCCAGTTTGTTGATGTGCTTCTTAAGATATGGGCACCACACAACAGCTGCATATTCTAGCTTTGGCCTAACAAAAGTCATGAACAATTTCTTTAGTATATCGCCATCCATGTATTTAAATGCAATTCTGAAGTTAGAAAGCATAGCATAGGCTCCTTGCACAATATTCTTTATGTGGTCCTCAGGTGATAGTTTTCTATCTAGAACCACTCCTAGATCTCTTTCTTTATCAGAATTCTTTAAAGATTTCTCACATAATATATAGGTTGTGTGGGGTCTATGTTCTCCTATTCCACATTCCATAACATGACATTTATTAACATTAAATTCCATTTGCCAAGTGGTGCTCCATATACTTATTTTGTCCAGGTCTTCTTGAAGGGCATGACAGTCATCTAAATTCCTTATCCTTCCTATTATCTTAGCATCATCAGCAAACATGTTCATATAATTCTGTATACCAACTGGTAGATCATTTATGTACACAATAAACATCACTGGTGCAAGAACTGAACCCTGTGGTACTCCACTTGTGACATTTCTCCATTCCGATACATTGCCTCTGATTACTGCCCTCATTTTTCTATCAGTCAGAAAATTTTTCATCCATGATAGAAGCTTACCTGTCACCCCTCCAATATTTTCCAGTTTCCAGAACAACCTCTTATGTGGAACTCTGTCGAAAGCCTTTTTTAGGTCCAGATAGATGCAGTCAACCCAACCATCTCTTTCCTGTAATATCTCTGTGGCTCGATCATAGAAACTGAGTAAATTCGATACACAGGATCTTCCAGATCGAAAACCATACTGTCTGTCTGATATTATATCATTTCTCTCTAGGTGTTCTACCCATTTAGTTTTGATTAGTTTTTCCAATACTTTCACTATTACACTTGTCAATGATACAGGTCTATAATTGAGGGGGTCATACGTACATAATGTGTATACGCACTTGTGTAATTACCTAAGTGTAATTACCTAAGTGTAGTTACAGGATGAGAGCTACGCTCGTGGTGTCCCGTCTTCCCAGCACTCTTTGTCATATAACGCTTTGAAACTACTGACGGTCTTGGCCTCCACCACCTTCTCACTTAACTTGTTCCAACCGTCTACCACTCTATTTGCGAAGGTGAATTTTCTTATATTTCTTCGGCATCTGTGTTTAGCTAGTTTAAATCTATGGCCTCTTGTTCTTGAAGTTCCAGGTCTCAGGAAGTCTTCCCTGTCGATTTTATCAATTCCTGTTACTATTTTGTACGTAGTGATCATATCACCTCTTTTTCTTCTGTCTTCTAGTTTTGGCATATTTAATGCTTCTAACCTCTCCTCGTAGCTCTTGCCCTTCAGTTCTGGGAGCCACTTAGTAGCATGTCTTTGCACCTTTTCCAGTTTGTTGATGTGCTTCTTAAGATATGGGCACCACACAACAGCTGCATATTCTAGCTTTGGCCTAACAAAAGTCATGAACAACTTCTTTAGTATATCGCCATCCATGTATTTAAATGCAATTCTGAAGTTAGAAAGCATTGCATAGGCTCCTTGCACAATATTCTTAATGTGGCCCTCAGGTGATAGTTTTCTATCTAGAACCACTCCTAGATCTCTTTCTTTATCAGAATTCTTTAAAGATTTCTCACATAATATATAGGTTGTGTGGGGTCTATGTTCTCCTATTCCACATTCCATAACATGACATTTATTAACATTAAATTCCATTTGCCAAGTGGTGCTCCATATACTTATTTTGTCCAGGTCTTCTTGAAGGGCATGACAATCATCTAAATTTCTTATCCTTCCTATTATCTTAGCATCATCAGCAAACATGTTCATATAATTCTGTATACCAACTTGTAGATCATTTATGTACACAATAAACATCACTGGTGCAAGAACTGAACCCTGTGGTACTCCACTTGTGACATTTCTCCATTCCGATACATTGCCTCTGATTACTGCCCTCATTTTTCTATCAGTCAGAAAATTTTTCATCCATGATAGAAGCTTACCTGTCACCCCTCCAATATTTTCCAGTTTCCAGAACAACCTCTTATGTGGAACTCTGTCGAAAGCCTTTTTTAGGTCCAGATAGATGCAGTCAACCCAGCCATCTCTTTCCTGTAATATCTCTGTGGCCCGATCATAGAAACTGAGTAAATTCGATACACAGGATCTTCCTGATCGAAAACCATACTGTCTGTCTGATATTATATCATTTCTCTCCAGGTGTTCTACCCATTTAGTTTTGATTAGCTTTTCCAATACTTTCACTATTACACTTGTCAATGATACAGGTCTATAATTGAGGGGGTCTTCCCTGCTGCCACTTTTGTAGATTGGAACTATGTTAGCCTGTTTCCACACGTCTGCTACGATTCCTGTACACAGGGATGCCTGAAAGATCAGGTGAAGTGGAATGCTGAGCTCAGATGCACATTCTCTCAGAACCCATGGTGAAACGCCATCTGGGCCAGCTGCTTTGTTCCTCCCGAGCTCCTTTAGCATATTTTCCACTTCATCTCTAGACACCTCTATCCGCTCTATGTTGTTCTCTGGAATTCTTATTGTGTCTGGTTCTCTGAAGATTTCATTTTGTACAAACACACTTTGGAACTTTTCATTTAATGTTTCACACATTTCCTTTTCATTTTCCGTGAATCTGTTTCCCATTTCCAACCTCTGGATATTATCCTTTACCTGCAATTTGTTGTTTATGAATTTGTAGAATAGGCCCGGTTCTGTTTTACATTTATCTGCTATCCCTTTTTCAAAATTTCTTTCTGCCTCTCTCCTTACTGCTGTATAATTGTTTCTCGCATCTTTGTATCGCTGGTATGTTTGGGGGTTTGGCCTCTTCCTATACTGATTCCATTTTTGTGTCTTTTGGTCTCTTGCCCTCTCACAATTTCTGTCGAACCAATCCTGTTTTCTGGTCCTGCATCTCTGTTTTGGTATAAATTTTTTTGTGCCTTTATCATATATTTCACAAAACTTGCCATACATCTCATTCACTTCCTTGCCTAGCATCAAGTCTGTCCAATTATACTCACTAAAAAAATTTCTAAGGTCACCATAATGTCCTCTCCTGAAGTCTGGTTTTTCAACTGCTTCAACCTCCTTATTTTCTTCCAGCTTATAACGCATTGCATACTTTATTCCCAAAAAGACATGGTCACTTTTACCCAAGGGAGGAAGGTACTGAATGTCAAATATCTCTTCCTCCTTCCTGGTAAATATCAAATCTAGCATGGAGGGAACGTCCCCTTCCCTCATCCTCGTAGCTTGTTTAACATGTTGATACAAGAATGTTTCCAGGATGAGGTCTACAAATTTACAGGTCCAAAAATCTTCTGTTTTAGCTTCATATGCTTCCCAGTCTATGGATTTCAAGTTGAAGTCACCGACTATCAACAGTCGTGATCTATCGTTATCCGCTCTCGCTATAATCTCTCT